TGTGTGTGTGTGTGTGTGTGTGTGTGTGTGTGTGTGTGTGTGTGTGTGTGGTGTATGTCTGTGGTGTGTGTGTCTATGATGTGTGCGTGTGGTATGTGTCTATGGTGTGTGTGTGATGTGTGTGTGGTTTGTGTATGTTGTGTGTGTATCTTTGGTGTGTATGTGTGTATGTATATGTGTGTGTGTGTCTGTGGTGTGTATGTGTGTGTGTGGTATGTGGTGTTTGTGTGTATGGTGTGTGTGTCTGTGCTATGTGTATATGTCTGCAGTATGTATATGTGTGTCTGTGGTATGTGTGTGGTGTGTGTGTGTCTAGAGGATACATGTGTGCATGTGTGTGTGGTGTGTGGGTATGTATGTGTGTGTCTCTGTGTGTGGTATGTATGTGTGTGTGTCTAGAGTATGTCTGTGTGCATGTGTGTATGTGGGTGTATATGTGTGTGTCTGTGGTATGTGTGTGTGATATGTGGTGTGTGTGTGTATGTGTGTGTGGTGCGGTGTGTATGTATGTGTGTCTAGAGTATGTCTGTGTGCATGTGTGTATGTGGGTGTATATGTGTGTGTCTGTGGTATGTGCGTGTGTGATATGTGGTGTGTGTGTGTGTGTATGTGTGTGTGGTGGGGTGTGTATGTGTGTGTGTCTAGAGTATGTCTGTGTGCATGTGTGTATGTGGGTGTATATGTGTGTGTCTGTGGTATGTGTGTGTGTGATATGTGGTGTGTGTGTGTGTGTGTGTATGTGTGTGTGGTGGGGTGTGTATGTGTGAAGTGTGTCTCTGCATGCATGTGGAGGCCAGAGATCCACTTCAAGTGTCATTCTTTAGATGCTGTCCATCTTCAGTTTTGAGGCAGGGTCTCTCATTGGCCTAGAACTAACCAAACAAGCTCGACTAGAAGCCATCAAGACCCAGGAATTCACCTGGCTCCATCTCCCCAGCACTAGGATGGCAAGTGCATACCACCACACCCAGATTTTTAAAGTACGAGTTCTGGGGACTGAACTCAGGTCCTTGTGCTTTCAAGGCAAAAACTTCACTGACTGAGCCATCTCCTTAGCCCCTGCATCCAGAATTCTGTCCTTCAAATGTAGCTGAACACATACGAGTTAGCATAAGCACCAAGTTTCTCATAATTGATGGCAGCAAATACAATGGGAGCACCTCAAATGTCTATCACTAGAGGATAATTTAAGAAATTGTGGAAATGTGTATGATAACATACTCTTCAGCCCTAAGAATAAATAAGGAAGTTCTGCTTCTAGGAATGTGAAGGAAAGATGTAGAAGTGGGTCCCTAGAGCACATAGCTAAGTACAGAAGGGAAGACAGCATGTGTACCATGCATGTGTACACATAGCTAAGTACAGAAGGAAGACAGCATGTGTATCATGCATGTACACATAGCTAAGTACAGAAGGAGAGACAGCATGTGTACCATGCATGTGTACACATAGCTAAGTACAGAAGGAAGACAGCATGTGTACCATGCATGTACACATAGCTAAGTACAGAAGGAGAGACA